GTGTCTTTTGATCATATCTATATATATAGATATAGATGCACACACACATTCTTCATCTTTACAGAGGATCAGGAATCTTACTAAATGTAAAGGTGAAGGTAAAAGTGCCATTTGAAGAAGAAATAATGTCTGTGATAATGCCTGGTTCAGAGTGCTTTAGACTGAATAGAGGCAGTTGGACTCCTGACCTTTGTTCAGTGCCGTTCGTATAGCTGGGGGTCATGTCAGATTTGTAGAAATCCAGCATGCAGGGCTGGCAAAGGGGGTGTCTCTGCAGACAAAAACACACAAGAGTGTGGAGAGTTCACATTTAAACCTTGTAGGGTAGGTGTGATGGTACACCCTAAGATTAAGACTTGCAGGAGAGCTGACAGCGGGGCTGCTCTGTTTTTCAGTGAAAGTCCAACTAAACTTTAGCTGAATTTCACTGTGGTTGGTTTTGACTCGGAAAAGCTTTGAGATATTAGAAATCTTATCCAAATGCAGCCCAGGCAAGAGACTGGAAATCTTGTGAGGATTGAGGTTGTCCTGTGATTAATATAACTTTATTCTCACGGTACTCTGTCCATTTTTCTTTCATTATATCGGCTTCCGGTAAAATTCCCATCTGCAAAATAATACAATTTTGGAAAATTTAAAATCTAGTCTTTTTTTTTTTTTTTCCAGAAGGGAGTCATCATCCACAATTGCATGTTGTAAAGAAATTCACCTGACATTTTTTCTGTAGAAACAATATAATCAACGTTTTCTGTGAAGGGATGTGAGAAATCTTGTCTCAATTTCCCTGTTCTGACAAGTTGAACATTTGATTAGTTCTGGGTGGCCGTTCGGACTGGAACTGATAAGATAAGGGTATGTGTCATTACACTGAGAAATAGTCTCCTATTTTAGACTCTTTCTACTTAAAGGGACATTGATAGGATTAAAAAACAAAACCCAGCTTTGCCAGAAATTCACATTCTTTGCAAGAATTCATGAAACTGAAAAATTAAAATCTATATTCTTTCCCCACCCCCCCACACACAAAAGAATACATTTAAAATGGTTTATTTAAAAAAGAAGAGTGAGTACAATATACATGCTTGTGATTATATGGGCAGTACTGAAGCACATTGGAAATAACATTTTGAGGACTGCAAACAGAAATGTGACCTCAAGGGACATGGTAGATTAGCCCTTGTGGATATATGTCGTATACAGAAAGAAAAACCAATACAAGACTACTCTGTTGCTAAAAGCACGAGCATATGGATGACTGCTAGTTTCACCCCTATTCTGTTTGGTATAAGAAACAGGAGGAGATGGTTGACAATGTACATGTAGCTGTGTTTCTCAGAAAATCAAATCTGATACCAGTGAGGCTTCTTTTTATATCTTTTATTCTTGGAAGTTGTCTTTTCCAGATAGGAGAATATCAGACAGACAGATTATTACTATTATTTTAGCACCAACTCAGAAAGTGGGGCGCCATTATGCCAGGTGCTGTATACAGATGAAAAGAGTGCATACGCCCCTCTTATCCTCTCTGCTGTTGAGTCAGTGTCTCAATCCTGGAATAAGCACAATGATTTCAGAGTCACGACCCACGGACTAAGAAAATACTCAGCGCATAGGGTTGGTGGACAGTTTGGGGGTTTTGTCAAAATATTTTATTTTCCACAGGAAAAGAGACTTTGGCACTATTTTTTCATTGGAAAAATCAAATTGAACTGAAATGCTTTGTTCCAGGTTGCCAGCCCAAAACAGTGCATTTCACTTCAGATGATCCTCTGCCCCTTATGGCCTTGTTCTCCTTCACAAGCCTGGCTTCCTTGTCAGACTGCATAGCCCATGACGCACTACGGTCTTCTCAGGTTTTTAAGCATTTCTACTCAACATGAGTAAACGTGCTGGAGTGTGGCTCTGAATAAACCAGCCCTACCGGTACCCCGCCCCTGCGCTCACAGAACGGAGATCACATGAAACACCAAAGTCAGCACGACGGTTTAAGTTCTAAGGGGTGAAGATCCACATACAAACTGCTAGACAGTCGGCCAGCTCATCCCGAAACACTTAGCCGAGAAGTCCCGTGGACACAGTGTACACATACTGTACAACACACACGTGCAGAACTGCAGGTTTGAGTCACGCTTTAGAAAAAGGCTCACTTTTCAACCGGAACCAGGCTAAACACGGTCACTGGAAGATGATGATGAAAAAACCCACCCCAACCCAACCCACACATTCTCCACTTCCATTTCAACACAGGCAAGTTTAGAAAGACAACCTACATCTAGCTCCTGCTTTGAAAGGGAATGATTTTGTAATTACAGTAAACACAAACGAGGACTTATTTCTAATGATTACTTTAGCAACACGCACCGGGAAGCAATAATTCTAGGGAGCTGTACCTGAAATACATAGGTGTAATACAATACATAGATGTAAATTAATAAGCACTTAGTATAACCCACTAATGAGACAGAATGCTTTTTTAAATGTCATTTTCTACCTCTATCGTAACTAATCCATTTATTTTAATTAAGAAATCTCAAAAAGTAGGAAATAATTTATTGTTTGAAAGCATAAAGACATATGTAAAAACAATTCTTCAAGAGCTTTAATAAATTTAGTCATATGCCCCTCCTTCCTTTTATTTTACTTGCTGGGAAGTTCACTACTGGAAAGTAGGTAAGATATTTTTCTCTTCCATAGTTCAAAAAAAATTGTCAACATCTTTCCCTTCGTGCCCTGATGTAAAAATAAAAGCATGGCAGTGGTGCTTTTTATAAGCGTGTCCATTTCATACTAATTAGCCGTGAGAATGAAATATGCCTCAGTACAAAAGGTTTGGACAAGGTTGCTATCAAAATTTTAACCTGGCTGTAGCTCATACAGGGAGGAAGGCCTTGGTTTAATTGAACTGGACTTCTTGCAAAAATATCTATGTAGATACGCACTGGTGGGGTGTAAAGGTTGCAAGAAAAGAGTATGTAAAAAATCAGGATTTTCTCTCAGTTGGGGTTTTTTTGGCTGGTGGAGACAGAAGGCCTGGACAGTCAGGATTTTACTGGGCTTTTTTTGGCACATGAAGGCATGTCTTCCTAGGTTTGACTGCAAGACTCTGCTTATAGGTACAGGAAACATTTTGCACCATAAGTAAGGCTGAAGGATATTATGTCTCTTACAGCGACATCCTTTATCAAAAAATTTACTCAGTCATTTATGTTAAATAGGTATTACAGAAGGAATTAAAGCCCCAAAGAATTTAAAACAAGTCAGATAAAGGTTCCTGGCCCAA